CCACGTGAGACCTGAAAGGAACATTGTTGGTGTGTGAGACCTGGAAGGAACGTTGTTATCATATGAGACCAGGAAGGAACATTATTGGCGTGTGAGACCTGGAAGGAACGTTGTTGGCGTGTGAGACCTGGAAGGAACGTTGTTATCATATGAGACCAGGAAGGAACATTATTGGCGTGTGAGACCTGGAAGGAACGCCGTGTGAGACCTAACAGGAACTTTGTTGGCGTGTGAGACCAGGAAGGAACATTGTTCCCACTCCCAGACTTGAAGGGGCACCTGTGCTAGCGTGTTGAGACCTGGAAGGAACATTGTTGCCAAATGAGACGTGGAAGGAACATTGTTGCCATATGAGATGTGGAAGGAATATTGTTGGCGTGTGAGACGTGGAAGGAACATTGTTCCCACTCCCAGACTTGAAGGGGCACCTGTGCTAAGTATTTTCTCCCTGTGTCTGCTGTCGGGATCACAGGTGGAATTTTGTGAGACAATGAAAGTTGTCAGTGCTGAAAACATCCAGTCCTGTGGGCAGATGAGACTGAGGTTCCCAGAAACTCTCTGTGTTGTCCAGTGCTCCTGAGTTTGGACCAAAATTTAGGCCTCCGGCTCCTGGCCCAGGTTGTTCTGTCCTGCATGGCTTCCCCGTGGTGGCACTCTGTTGCCCCACCTCTCTGGTTTGTTGGCACGAACCGTGCCACCACTGCCCAGCCTCCAGAGCGGTGAGAATGGTGCGAGTGCTCTCCCTCTCAGATTCCCATGCCACTGAGTCCTGCTGGGTCCGACCCCCTGTGGCTGGACAAGGACCTTAGCCCACGAGGAGGTCCACGGCCAGTCTGAGGCATCCCGGGGCCTGGGCAGAGCTCCTCTCTCAGATGCTGGCTCTTGTAGGAACTTAGCCTGAAAAGACAGCTCTGGAGCTGAGCAATTTCTTGTCTGGACAGAGTTTATTTTGAAATTGGTTAAGATTTTGGCTCTAGAATCACGCCTAGTTTAAACCCTGCCCTGGAAGCTTGCTGGCTGTGTGACCCTGGGCAAGTTACTTAACCTCTCTGTTCACCTATATGATGAGGAATAACAGTGTTGGCTGTAGTGCTGAAAGTACTAACCAAGTCATGCCTGGCACTAATAGGGGCTCAGGAGAGACCTGAGTGATGGAATGAATGCATTCAGAACCCTGTGCTTGGCTCCAGGTGAAGGTGACAGGAGGTCAGAGGCATGGAGTCTGCCCTCACCTTGGTTACGTTCTAGAGGAGCAGCTGTGTGAAACAAGGGCAAGCCAGCCTGTGGGCCGTGCTGGGCAGGGTGGGTGCCACCGCCCCCTCCTGTTCTCAGGGTGGCTCCCTCCTGCTGTGGGGCTGTGGGGCCTGGTCCTCCATGTCAGGGGGAGGAATTTGGTTCTAGGGCTTAGTTCGTCTGCCCTATGGCTGGGTCTCCTGAGAGCCCCTGGAAGATGGAGTGAGGCAGCGGGTCCTTGTGGGCTCAGCCAACCGCAGGGCCACCAGCAGGCCATTCCCCGGCCCCGTCCTGGCACCGCCGGGCTCTGACGATGTGTGGGACCAGGAACGAACGAGGTGAAGCATGCAGTGTGGCCTTAGTGAGGGGGAAGCAGCCGCCTGTTTTGGAGCAGGGGGGGCGCGTTTCTGTTTTAGCTCAGGGAAGAGGCAGGTCCTCTGAGCGGGCGGGAGCCTGTCCTCTGCCAAGGCCGTCGGGTATTTATCCCGTCGCTCCCGGGGCACATCCAACAGCCGACTTAGAAATGACGCTGGTGCCGGCCGGGGTCTCCAGCGCTTGGCGGGGCTCAGTGGTTGAGCGCGGACCCATGAACCAGCGGGTCAGGTTCAATTCCTGGTCAGGGCACATGCTGGGGTTTCAGGCTTGATCCCCGGTGTGGGGTGTGCAGGAGGCAGCCGATCAATGATTCTCTCTCATCATTGATGTTTCTCTCTCTCTCTCCCTCTCCCTTCCTCTCTGAAATCAATAAAAATGTATATATTAAAAAAATTATGTTGGTCTGAAAAAGCCCCTAGACTTGTTGACCTTTGAGTCCCGCCTACGGTTGCCTGGCAGGGCCAGACCAATGCTGCGGCCCTCGGGCGGGCGTTCCTGCCCTGCTCTAAAGGGTGGGCGACTTGGCCTTCACATCACTGTCAGTTCGTGGGGTGATCGTTGGTGTGGAAGTCAATGGGCACACGGGGAGTGGGAGACAGTAGGTGGGGCGTGGGGGTGAAGGAGAGCAGGAGGGCTGTGAAGCCCTTGCACAGGGGATGGTGGGGGCACGGTGCTCTGGGTTCCACCCTCTGTGTCTTTTCAGAGGCTGCTGGCAAAGCTGCAGAGCTGGGAGAGACTGGACCAGACCACGGGCTTGAGCATCAGGTAGGCGGAGGGGGCTGGCGCCCCGGTGTCCCCTTCTCGGTGCAGTTAGCGCCTGTGGCAGATGGGCCCTGCCTCCCACCCCTCTCCAGAGGCCCTGGCGGCGGCTGCTGGGAGCTTCTTCCTCAGGCTGCTCAGGAAGTCGGCGGCCCTCCCTGCCAGGTCTTCACAGCAGCCTCACGTGGAAACGAGGCGGGCAGGGCCGGACACCTGGGGTGGGCCGGCCCAGCTCTTCCTGCCCCAGGTGGCTTAGCTGACCAGGCTGCTCACTGCGGGCACGGTGTGACGTCTGCCCTCGGCACCTGCCCCACGTGCTGCGCTTTATCCCCCTCTCACCCTGGCCCCCACCCGGGTCCTGCTGAGAGAACCGGCAAGCTCGCAGCGTGTGATACAGAGCTCGCAGTAAGTGGTCTGGGCTGGAAACAAGTCTGCGTGCTCACAGCCAGGAGGTGCAGGGGTTTGGCCCGCATTGTTGGCTGAAGTGAAGGACTTTCTCTTGTATGAACTGAGGAAGAGATTGTTTCGGGGAGCTCATTCCTATTAGGTGCTCGTGATGAGGGGCAGTGGACTGAGCTTTTAGGGGTGAAAAAGGAAAACACGGTGACAGAGGGCCCCTGCAGCGGCTTCCCCTGCTTGTCTGGTGGACCTAGTGCCTGCCAGCAAGTGCGGCCGGATGCAGAGTGGGCAGCTGCTGGGGCTGTGGGGCGGCCCTCCCGGGCACAGGCCTGAGGGGCCGAGCTGGGCCTTGGTACTCTGGTGGGCAGGACGGGCATCTTTACCCCAGCTGCACTGCCCGTCTTTCTCCAGTGTCGCTCCGCTGCTGCTGCCCAGGCCCCTGGCACCCCCCAGACCACCGCCTCAGCAGCGTTGTTTGCCTGGCTGCCCCCTTCTGGGGGGGTGGGGGGCAGAAGGTTGATCGTCTGGATTGGGCCTGTGCCTGGGCAGGGGCCTGTGGTGTTAGAGAGCCTCGTGCTGTTCACCTGCTCGCGTGGTTCTGAGGCCTTAGTTTCCCAGTGTCTCCTGGAGCCTGGGCCGAGGGTGAGAGCCCCGTTAGAGAGCGAGCGGCCTGTGATTGCGCGACGATCGCTGCTTCTCAGCCGCAGCTGCTCCCGCTGGCATGATGGGCTCCAGCTGTCCCCCCCTCGCAGGTCCTCCTCATTTTCCTTTCGTCTCTGAGTCAGAGGACAGACGGGCTGCTGTTTCCTCTTGAACTCCACCTGCAGAACTCAGACTCACAGAGGGCGGCCCAGCAGGGCCCACGTGTTTCATGCTTCCTCCTGTTCTCTGGGCTTATTAACTCTCCCGAAAGCTCCCCTCCTGCCCCAGGCAGACGCGTCAGGAGAGAAACCTCCGTGACTTCTCTCTTGTGCAGGAGATCAGAGGCCCCGCGGCAGATGAGACCAGCCTGCTGAGCGCCCAGTGGGCCGCAGCCGCAGCGTCGTCAGGCCCACAGGCTGCACAGCCGCGCGTCGGCCAGGAGGCCAGGGCTCCATGGCCAGGAGGGAAGGGCAGCCGCTCCTTGCTCCCTTTGGTCCAGTTTTCCTGTTGCTGGGAAGGGAATGCAGTGCATGTTCATGGCTCCTGGAGTTAAAGGCCGTGACTTAGAGCTGCTTCCCCTGGGAGGCTGCCTTCCAGGAGGCAGGAGACCTCCCCGCGAGAGGGCAGGTGCTCTCTCCCGTGTGCTGTGGTTGGCTGTGCCTGGGCCCCCTCTGGGGCCCCTCGGGGCCCTCCATCCTCACCTTTCCTGTCCCCGCTGGGGCATCGGGGCAGGCCTTCACCTCCGCAGCGCGTGCTCCGCTTGAGTGATCCATGTGTCGTGTAGCAGGCAGTGGGCTCAGAGCCGTGCTGTGCGGATGGCCATCACCAGAACCACCTGGGAGTTTGGCACAAACACAGATCCTGGGCTGAACCCAGGCCCAATGGTCAGCCTGTCCAGGCGCTGGACCTGAGTCTTGGGGTGACCTTGAACCCCGTGAAGAGGGGCCATCTTTTTGCTACTTTTTGGCACTTAGAGATTCTGAGCAGGAAGCCCTTGCTAACGGCACTGAGTGTGGAGGTGGACATGGCAGAGGGAGACAGGACGGGAGACGCTGGGGGCCCTTCTGTAGCGTGGGGTCCCTGCAGGGGGGTCCGAGGGAGACGGGCACTGTCTGGGGGGTGTGTGCTGAGGGCTGCCACCTGGGTGATGGGGGTGGGGTCTGCCACGACTGGGTCTCAGCTGGACGCCTCTAGGGTCCGAGGGAGACGGGCACTGTCTGGGAGGTGTGCTGAGGTGATGCCACCTGGGTGATGGGGATGGGGTCTGCCACGACTGGGTCTCAGCTGGACGCCTCTTGTCACCCTTGTGGGGTCCAGTGTCGCAGAGATGGCGGTGGGCTGTCTCAGACCCTGCAAAGGTGGGTAGATGTCTGTCTGGCCCCACATTGGTCCCCGTGTGTGGTGTGGTCTCTCTGCCTCTGCTCCCACATCTGTAAATGGAAAGGCTTTTCTAGAACATTGGGTTCCCAGCAGGGGTCATGGGTCTCCGAGAGTTTGAGGAAGTCACAGACTTTCTCCTCATGACAACGCACGTTTGCGTGTGTGCACGTGTAGACACGACTTTGCGTGCCAGTTCAGGACCCACTACCCTGAAGCATGATCAGCCGGCTCTAACCGACGGCAGCAAGTTGGGGTTTGGGAGATGCCCAGAGCAGGGATTCGAGGGGCTGGAGGGCATTTCGGTGTGGCCTTCTGGGCTTGAGTCTGTTTAGCCTTTAGGTGAAGGTGTTGTCATTATCTTGGGACTGAGACCACTCATTTGGGGCATGTCATGAGCCCAGGCTCTAGTCCGTGTCCAGTGCCTCTGTGGGTTTTTGAGAGCTGTCACCACTAGATGGCACCACGCCCCCCTGGCGATTCTGGCTCCCTGTGACCTCAGGAGCCGCCCAGTCCCTGGAGCTGCCCTGAGTTTAGGCCTGCGGCTCCTCCTGACCCACTGCCGGCCCCCCAGGCGACTTCCTTGCCAAAACCAGGTTTGGTTGTGCAGGAGTGGGGAGTGGTCTGCGGTCTGACAGTTCCTGCCTGCCTTTGGGTGGCCACCTGGCCACTGTTGCGTATCCCCCCTGCTCTGTTCTCTTTATGTTTTAACATATGTTTTTATTGATTTTTAGAGAGAGAGGAAGGGAGAGGGAAAGAGAAACCCTGATCCGTTGCCTCCCGCCCCCAACCTGACGGGGGATCGAACCCGCATCTCGGGTATGTGCCCTGACCGGGAATCAAACCAGTGACCTTTGGGTGCATGGGACGATGCCCCACCAACTGAGCCACTCCTCAGGGCCACCTGCTCTGTTCCTGAGCAGCCACGTTCCGTTCCTGCACCCTGGGGTCTGTGAGCCCGCGTTCGGGGGGGCCTTCTCCGTGCGGAGCTCCTCTGGGTTCGCGGGGCTCTGTGGCCTCATGGCGGGACAGAGATCACCTGGAGAGACCAAGTCCCCAAGGTGTCCACAAAGAAATGGACTCGGGAGGGCAGGACAGTGGTCTCTCTCCTCCCAGTTTGGGCTTTCTTACATCCCAAGGAGCCCAGAGGTGCTGGGGGGGTGGGCGCAGTGGCTGGTGGGAACCACTGTCGACCTGGAGGGGAACCCCGCACCTGCCAGAGCAGCTTGCCCCCCGTGGGGATGCCGACACCTGTCTCCAGCGCCTGGGCCGGGCGCCCAGGCAGGTTGGGCCTCATCATTGCCTCAGGGTGTGAGGAGTGGGCACAGGCCGCGTCAGGCGGGTACTGATGCGGGGGAGGAGGGAGGCGAGTCTGGTACTGGTGTTCTATCCCAGGACTGTGAAGGGGGCCTGAGGCATTCATTGGCAGCAGTGTGGAGGGGGGTGACGTGCGGAGGGGGACGGTGTGTGGACTGTGAAGGGCTGGGCCGTGCCTCTGAGCAGTGTGGTCTGTTGGGGGAATGATTTGAAGGCACTGGATGAAGGTGGGCACCAGGAGGCACCCTTCGATGTGTCTGTGCCAACCTAGGCAGGATGCTGGGGGCACTGGGAGAAGGAATAACCGAGAGGGCTGGTAGGAGAAATGAGGGACAGTGCACCCGGAGTCAGGTGCTTATCCTCGGAAAGTTAATGCCACTCATTGTCGTGGAATAAAGGGGAGACACGGCCATCTCCGCAGATGCAGAAGCAGCACCTGTAAGCTGCAGCCTGAGGTGCAGTGGAGGCAGGTGCTTCCAGGCGAGCTGGGCGCCGTCCATGGTTCTGTGTGAGCCGGGGCCCGAGCAGAGCCGCCATGGGAAGGGAGCCGCTGGCAGAGCCGCCATGGGAAGGGAGCCGGGAAGGGAGCCGCTGGCAGAGGAAGAAAGAAGCCTGTCTTTCTTTGCTGGGAGGTGACGAGGTATTTATGCAGGAAATCCCACAGAATCGGTAAGAAGCCGCTGAATAAGTGAGCTTAGCGGGTCACAGGACCGAGGACAGGACACACACACTGATCTCACGTCTGTGTCCTGGCAGCCAGCACGGGAAGAACATCCCGTTCACAGCAGCACCGGAAACATGAACTCCTGGGGAGTGAACACAACCTGTAAGGTCTGCACCGACGGCTGTCGCGGCTGCTGAGAGAAGTGACAGGTGACCTAGTGATGAAGTGAACGGAGGGAGGCATTGAGGTCGGGGACTGGACACTCAGCGCTGTCGGGGTCAGTTTGCTGGAGTTGCTCCACACGTGCCACCCAGTTAGAGTCCCCGCAGGCTTTCTCCCAGGAATCGACGGACTGACCTGGAGCTTCTCTAGAAATGCCCAGGAGCGGGCTGCTGCCGCCCTGTGAGAAAGAGCAGTTACAGAGCGTTCAGTGGCCGAGTCAGGACTCACCGGGACCGCGTTACTCACCACAGCTCCCTCCCGGCGCGGACAGACCTGCACTCGGTGGACAGGATGGGAAGGTCAGGAACACCCACGAAGGTGGCGTGGATTGATGTCCGTGGAAGGCGAGGTGATCATTCAGTGGGAGACTCTTTTCAACACGGTGCTGGGCCAGGGGGACGGCTGAGGCACTCCCTCCGGCGCAGACCTCAGGGTGCTAACCAGAGTTCCTAGACCCCACAACACGAACCACCAATGGAAAAACGGAGACGTAGAGTTCACCAAAATGTAAAGCCTTTGATCTCAAAAGACCTCAAGAGAAGGCACGCCGCGGTCCGGAGGAAACTTCGCAGGGTGTGCGTGACGGAGGCCTTGTCTGCGTGGCGTGACTGAAGGCGCCTTTCCCGTCAGCAGGAAGGCCAGATGTAAACAGTGGGCAAGAGACGGAACAGGACGTTTACGAGAGAAAAGATGCGAATGGCGAGTGAGGAGAGGAGAGGTGCTCGGCACCGTCGTCCCGGGGAAAAGGCAAGCCGCGGGCCGGAGGAAACTTCGCGGGGTGTGCGTGACCGAAGGCGCCTTTCCCGTCAGCAGGAAGCCCAGATGTAAACTGGGCAAGAGACGGAACAGGATGTTTACGAGAGAAAAGATGCGAGGAGAGGAGAGGTGCTCGGCACCGTCGTCCCGGGGAGCACACAGCCTGCAGGGAGCACTGCTGCTGCCCCAGCTCCCTGGCCATAGGTCGACACGTAACCACTGAGCCACCCGGCTGGGCTGGAGTGCTGCTGTTTAAAGCCTTCGCTCTGGGAAGGAGCCCATCCCCTGAGCTTGTCAAAGGTCCGTGGGCAGCCCATCCCCTGCCAGCTCGCCTGGACTTGGGGACTTGGAGCAAGTGGCGTGGGCTACAGAGGGGTCTTCGTCCCCATCTTGCCGCACCACGGGCCTGTGTCACAGCTCCCTGGCACTGGCACTGTCACGTGCTCTAGTGGTGCCTGGGGTGCCCTTCACGGAGAATGGGATGAGAGGTGCCCCCAGAGGTTGGCAGCCAGGGCAGACTGCTCTCACCCCGTCCAGCCTTGTGGGCAATACCTGGTAAATTCTGGTGCATCTTTCTAGAATGTGGGTGCACCTGCGAGCGTTATGCACCCCTTTAGGCAGGGCTCACACTGTAATGCTGCCCTGCACCCCGCATGCCCTTAGTCTCCGCCAAGGTTTCGGCAGCAGCACCCGTGGCTGGACGGTTATGACGGCGAGCAGCAGCGCGCTGCAGTGTGGGTGAGCCCTGCGGCCCCTCAGGCCCCCTGTCGGCCGTGTCGGTGGTTTCCAGTGGGTGTTAGTTCTCCACTAAGCAGTGCTGGGTCGGCTGGGTAAATGCTTAGACGTAGAATTTTTAGTCAGAAGAGAGAGACCTGTCTGAAATGGAGATGGTGCTAATGGCCCCAGGGGCGGGCGCGCTCCTCCCATTCCCCTCAGGTGGTGCCACCTGCTCTGGGCCACAGGTCCCAGAGACTCAGGAGGCCACTGGAGGGAGGGGCAGGGCTCGGGCTGGCTGTTAGGAAGCAGGCCGAGCACTGTTTGGCGAGGGCCTTACCGGGGAGCACGGCAGGCGGGTGGAGCCCCTCTGCCACCCAGCCTCTCATCATAGAGGAGCGGCGGGCTTGTGGAGGGAGGCCTCTGCCCCTTTGTGCCGAGTCTGGCTGGGTTCAGTCAGGACAGAGGGCGTGATGGTCCCTGTCAGTGTGAGTCCAGCTGGATGGGCTCGGGGGCTGCTGCGGGGGCAGGCTGGGCCGGGGCGGCGGGAGGCAGGTGGGTTTTGCTGGCTCTGAAGCCTGCCTGCTCCCCCGCCTCCCAACTGCTGACCGTCACCTGGAGCGGAAGCTGCAGCCGACAAGTGCTGACCTGGACGTTTCCCAAAAGCATTTGTAGGCTGGCCAGGTGACAGGTCTCGGGAGCGAGTTTCCCTGACGTGTGAGGCCAATTAGGAGGACAGCGCGGGGGTGCATCATTCCTCCGGCGAGGCGCTCATTGACCATCCTGGGCCCTGTCATTCCCCGTCACTGTGGCGGCTCAGTTACCCAGGTCCTGCCATCAGTGCCGAGCTGTTGGTGCGTGGGAATGGGGAGCTGTCAGCATCTCGGTCCCTTTTAATTGGTCTTGGTTGGTTTTCTTTAGACGGGGGGAGGGGGGGGTCGAGGAGTGCTTTACCTTCCGGGTCCTCGTGAGCCCACCCGCCTGCTGGTCTTCTTGCTGATGCCTCGGGTCCCAGCACGGGCTTCTCTGTTGTTTGCTGGTTGTCAGCATCAGAGACAGGAGACCAGTCCGACTGTCATTCTCTGACCGTGCCAGGGCAGGCTTCCCGCAGGGGGCATGTCGGGCTGAAATCTGAAGGGAGCGTGAAGTGTGAAGAGGGGAGGTTTCTGCCGAGCCCAGGGGGTGGGGCCAGGAGAGGATGAGCACCCAGGACAAGACAGTTCACCAAAATGTAAAGCCTTTGATCTCAAAAGACCTCAAGAGAAGGCACGCCGCGGTCCGGAGGAAACTTCGCAGGGTGTGCGTGACGGAGGCCTTGTCTGCGTGGCGTGACTGAAGGCGCCTTTCCCGTCAGCAGGAAGCCCAGATGTAAACTGGGCAAGAGACGGAACAGGATGTTTACGAGAGAAAAGATGCGAGGAGAGGAGAGGTGCTCGGCACCGTCGTCCCGGGGAGCACACAGCCCGCAGGGAGCACTGCTGCTGCCCCAGCTCCCTGACCATAGGTCGACACATAACCACTGAGCCACCCGGCTGGGCTGGGGTGCTGTTTAAAGCCTTCGCTCTGGGAAGGAGCCCATCCCCTGAGCTTATCAAAGGTCCGTGGGCAGCCCATCCCTTGCCAGCTTGCCTGGACTTGGGGACTTGGAGCAAGTGGTGTGGGCTGCAGAGGGCAGCCATTTCCTGTGGTTGATGGAGACAGCGGAGCAAGCGCCTGGCGGAGAGAGGAAAAGTGGCCGTGGTCTTCGTCCCCCATCTCGCCGCACCAGTGGGCCTTGTCACAGCTCCCTGGCACTGTCACGTGCTCTAGTGGTGCCTGGGGTGCCCTTCACAGAGAATGGGATGAGAGGTGCCCCCAGAGGTTGGCAGCCAGGGCAGACTGCTCTCACCCGTCCAGCCTTGTGGGAAATACCTGGTAAATTCTGGTGCATCTTTCTAGAATGTGGGTGCACCTGCGAGCGTTATGCACCCCTTTAGGCGGGGCTCACACTGTAATGCTGCCCTGCACCCCGCATGCCCTTAGTCTCCGCCAAGGTTTCGGCAGCAGCACCCGTGGCTGGCCAGTTATGATGGCAAGCAGCAGCGCGCTGCAGTGTGGGTGAGCCCTGCGGCCCCTCAGGCCCCCTGTCGGCCGTGTCGGTGGTTTCCAGTGGGTGTTAGTTCTCCACTAAGCAGTGCTGGGTCGGCTGGGTAAATGCTTAGACGTAGAATTTTTAGTCAGAAGAGAGAGACCTGTCTGAAATGGAGATGGTGCTAATGGCCCCAGGGGCGGGCGCGCTCCTCCCATTCCCCTCAGGTGGTGCCACCTGCTCTGGGCCACAGGTCCCAGAGACTCAGGAGGCCACTGGAGGGAGGGGCAGGGCTCGGGCTGGCTGTTAGGAAGCAGGCCGAGCACTGTTTGGCGAGGGCCTTACCGGGGAGCACGGCAGGCGGGTGGAGCCCCTCTGCCACCCAGCCTCTCATCATAGAGGAGCGGCGGGCTTGTGGAGGGAGGCCTCTGCCCCTTTGTGCCGAGTCTGGCTGGGTTCAGTCAGGACAGAGGGCGTGATGGTCCCTGTCAGTGTGAGTCCAGCTGGATGGGCTCGGGGGCTGCTGCGGGGGCAGGCTGGGCCGGGGCGGCGGGAGGCAGGTGGGTTTTGCTGGCTCTGAAGCCTGCCTGCTCCCCCGCCTCCCAACTGCTGACCGTCACCTGGAGCGGAAGCTGCAGCCGACAAGTGCTGACCTGGACGTTTCCCAAAAGCATTTGTAGGCTGGCCAGGTGACAGGTCTCGGGAGCGAGTTTCCCTGACGTGTGAGGCCAATTAGGAGGACAGCGCGGGGGTGCATCATTCCTCCGGCGAGGCGCTCATTGACCATCCTGGGCCCTGTCATTCCCCGTCACTGTGGCGGCTCAGTTACCCAGGTCCTGCCATCAGTGCCGAGCTGTTGGTGCGTGGGAACGGGGAGCTGTCAGCATCTCGGTCCCTTTTAATTGGTCTTGGTTGGTTTTCTTTAGACGGGGGGAGGGGGGGGTCGAGGAGTGCTTTACCTTCCGGGTCCTCGTGAGCCCACCCGCCTGCTGGTCTTCTTGCTGATGCCTCGGGTCCCAGCACGGGCTTCTCTGTTGTTTGCTGGTTGTCAGCATCAGAGACAGGAGACCAGTCCGACTGTCATTCTCTGACCGCGCCAGGGCAGGCTTCCCGCAGGGGGCATGTCGGGCTGAAATCTGAAGGGAGCGTGAAGTGTGAAGAGGGGAGGTTTCTGCCGAGCCCAGGGGGTGGGGCCAGGAGAGGATGAGCACCCAGGACAAGACAGTGGCCGGGGCAGCCGGAGAGCCCGGGTGGCAGGGCCACGCGGGGAGGTTGCCCCGCGCTTCCCGGGAGGAGGCCATGGACTTCCTTAGCGTCCGCCTGTGTTTAGTCTGGATAGAAACCTTCCTGCCTGTTCTGTCACTTACCTGTGTCTTTCTTGTTGTTGTTAATCCTCACCCGAGGATATTTTTCCATTGATTTTTAGAGAGCGTGAAAGGGAGGGGGAGAGACAGAGAGAAACATTGATGTGAGAGAGACACATCAACTGGGGCTGGGGATTGAGTTTGCAACTGAGGTACATGCTCTTGACTGGAATTGAACCTGGGACCCTTCAGTCTGCAGGCCAACGCTCTAACCACTGAGCAACTGGCCAGGGCACTTACCTCTGCTTTGAAGGGAGAGGGGCCAGGGTGGGCCACAGAGAGCCTGTGAGCCCTGCTCGGGGGGAGGCCGTGGAACCTGGCTGGGGCCGGGCTGTGCAGGGACCTTCATGAAGCCGGGCTCTGAAACGAGAGGGAAGACAGCCGCATGGGTGCTGTTTCTAGCAGACACGGGAACCAGTCGTGTCCTTTGGGAATCTCGAAAGCCCTGAGCACAGCTCCCGCCTGCAGCTCTCAGGCTGCTCTTAAATGAGGACGATTTCCGAGGCCCTGGCATGTGCGTGTTTGTACGTGTGTGTCTGCGAGGCCTGCGGACAGCCTGGTCAGCTTTGCCAGCAGGAGGTGACCATCACATCACTGAGGGGGCGGCAGGGGTTTCTGGGGACACATGGTGCCTCCAGGAACGTGCAGAGTCGTCCGGCACAGCCTCTCTGCCTCGGTCCTCTACCTGGGAGGGAGCACAGTCCTCCCTCAGGCGTGAGGGCCTCGGAGCCCAGCAGACGCCGCCGGAAGCTGGTGAGAGTGGGCTGGGCTGTGGGGCACGGCAGCCCGTGAACAGCCTGCCGCCCACCTGGGGCCCCTGAAATGAGCAGGACTGGAAACTCCCCTTGTCTGCGACCGACTGGACGAGATGCAAAAACAAAACCCTTTGCTCTCAGGCTCCGTGCTCCGTGACCTGGGAGTTATGCCCAGAAGGTGTGGGAGCGTGGGAGCTGCTGGGCTCGTGGAGAAAGCACTTCCTGAAATAGGTGGTGTAGCAGTGAACGTCCGTCCGATGCTGGCCTCCGGAGGGGCGAGGAGCCAGCCCTTCCTAAGCGGCCATCGCCTCTGGTCATCACCTTCCGTGGCAGCCGGCGGGCGGTGCTGCTGCGTTTTACTGAGTGGAGGCCGGAGGGGCAGGGGGAGAAGCTGGTGTCTCCTCAGAGGGCAGAGGGCCTGGCACCCGGCCTGGCTTCTTGTATTGCCTCATGCACCTCCTCCTGGTTGTTCCTTTCGTTCCAGGTGAACATTTCCTGAGCCTTTACAGTGTGTCAGGCACTGTGCTGGGTGCTAGGGATTGTTGACTAAACAAATGAAGAGCCAGCTATTTTCCCAGAAAAATGGGTTTATTCAGGAACAACAAACAGTTGCAATTTGGAACATGCGGCTTACGGGGTAATCCACTAAACTGTGCAAGTCCAGGGACAGAGGGAGGACTGTTCCCTTCCAGCGGAAAGGCGAGTGCAGAGGCACCTGCAAACGGAGAGTCCATGGGAGGAAGCGGAGTTGGAAGTGAGTGGCGTTTCATTGGCGGAGTGGTTGCCGGGCGAATAGTGAAGGGGTAGTAGAAGAGTGGAAGCATCTTCCTGTTTGGGGTAATTGTCCATGAGTGGGGGGCGGGAGAGCGCCCCCTGCAGGCCGCCCAGCTCCAGCTTCAATGCCTTTCTGTTCGTTATCCTCCCAGGATGCAGCTGCAGGTTGGCAGGACCTGTTCTGAGCACTCCGGCCTCGTGCAGCCGCACGCAGGTGTGTTGGGCATGGCCCTGGAACAGCTGGTTCTGGGCCTGAGGCTGGGAGCACGTGGCAGGCAGAGGACGTGGCTTGTGCAAACACAAGTGGGAGGGAGGGTGTGCTGAGAGGTCCCCTGGTCCCCAGTGGTGCGCGCCGGAGTGTGTGGCCGGTGAGAGCGGAGAGGTGGCAGGGGCAGGTCCTGACGGCGTTGGGCCATGCTGAGGAGGGACTGCTCACTGAGGTGACAGGTGGCACACCCATCTGTGGGCCTCTGTCCTCCCTGAACTTGCTGAGGGCCTTGGGCCTTGGCGCAGGCCGCGCCTGCTGGGTCTGTGTGCTTTCCGACTCATGGCGGGTTTCTGAGCCGTAGCACGGGGTGGGGGAGTGTTCCCCACGACACGAAGGTGCCCCGTCAGGCTCGGGCCGTGCCCAAGAGCATGGGGTTGGGCGCTTCCGTCAAGCTGTAGGGATGGTCAGAGGGGACGGAGGTGGGGCTCTCCCTGCTGGAAGCCTGCAACTGGGAGGGTGTCTGGTCAAGGCCAGGCTCTTTCCAGTCTGTCCTTCCCTGCCCTCCTCAGGCGAGTGCCTGCTCCCTCGGGACCCAGCCGTCTCCTGAAGGACTGTGCTTTGGGGAGACATCACTCACGTATTTATCTGAGGACTGGCCACCTGCCAGACCGGGACTGGCTCTGGGGCTGTGGAGTCACAGAGCACAGCCTCTGACCTCCCAGCGCGGGACAGCCCTGCGCAGTGAAAAGCCTGCGCTCTCCAGGCTCGGGGGCCGCCGATGCTGCTGCAGCCTTTCCTGGGAGCATCTCGCTGGAAGACAGACCTTGTGTTTCTGCTGGATTTGAATGATGGCGGTGGCCGACGGCCAGCCTTTCTCTGTTCTGGACGGCATGGCTGCTGACAGGCTGCAGGGTTGTTTTAGAACAGTCCCTGCCCCGACGAGGCCTTCACTGCCGACAGGACAACCCTGTCCAGGCTGCGGTCGCCCCGGAGGGCTAACTGCTCGAGAACTCGCCAGCCCATTCCTGCCGGTGTCTCACTCGCCCTGCCTCCCGGCTCGGTGGGTGACCAGGGAGGTCCCTCCACACGGCAGAGGAGGGAGCAGAGATGCCAAGGTCGGCCAGCCCGTTTGTGGCGCCCTTGTCGGGCTACTGGTCCCGGCACATGGTGGGCTCTGCCCTCCATGAGCTCCGTCCATCTGGCCGGCCACATGGTGCCATGCAGCTGGGGCCTGGTCTCTGTGAGCGGGTCAGTCTGCTGCTGGCACGCACGGGCTTCTGTCAGGGAGCTGCCTGTCCACTTAGCCCAGCAGCACGAGGCACAGATGCGGGCAGGAAGCCATCCGCTGACGGCAGCTCTTTAAGGCCTGACGGCTCCCAGCTGAACTCGCCAGGAGGGCCGCCAGCCTGCGGGGCTGACCTGCCTTGGCTCGGGCTGGGCACCTTCTGCAGCTCAGCTCTGCTCTTCAGGGGGAGGCTCGGCGGCAGCGTGGGAGTCAGTCATCGGGGAGAGGAGGTGTTTTCACTGCTGAGGCGGCACCCAACACTGTCTTGTCCACGGAGGAGGCCCAGATAGAAGATTAGCAGCTAGTTCTTTATTGCATGAAACTGCTCTCCTGTTGCGTGGAGCCAGGCAGTCCTCCCCAGCGGGGGCGATGCTGCTGCCTGCCACTCTCAGCTCTGTGGCCGGCCTGCCTGGAGCCGACAGCGGGCGGAGTCCAGGTGGAGGCGTTTAGACAGCCTCTCCCCACTTGCTCGCTCTGGCGCCTGCTTTCTCTGAGTTGCTGGAGTTCCCTGCGGTTAGGTCTCGGGCCTGTCTTTTCTCTCGTTAGGATTGTAGTTACAGCAGGCAGCCTCGCTCATCTTTTGGAACAGCTAAGGTGTAGCTTGCTGGTTTGAGAGGCGGCTCCTTTAAGTTGAAGCTCATTTTTTAAACTAACTTCTGTGGGAAAATTAGATTTGTTTTTCACTAAATTGAGAAGAGTCCCTGGTAGCTATCGCTGGTGTTTTGCTGTGGGCATTTTCATTGTTTATTAGAGCTTAGCTGCAGTGCCCTACATGGCCCAGTAGGGGTCGCTACCAAGTTATCAAACCTCGAGTCTTAGGCTACAGAGACTTTTGGTAACACGGTGTCCTTCCTCTTGGTTTAGCCATTCGGTAGGCTAGATTTGTTTTTAACTTAACAGTGAGCACCAGTGATGGGATGGATGTAGGGTAAAGGCTGGCAAGCTTTTTTCAGAAAGAGTCAGGGAGTAGAAGTCAGGGCCTGTGGCCCTGGGATCCCTGGTGCAGGTCCTCAGCTCTGCCTGGAGCACAGACGAGGGCGGCCTCCCTTTTGGCGGGGTGGGCACTCCCTGCTGGCACGGGGGCGTGCCCAGGGCAAGCAGGACCCTTGGTGGCCCTGTTGGGAAGGTGCCACAGACAGTGTGAGGGGTGCGGCCGTGTCCCTGTCACACGTGATATCTGAAAGGGGTGTGACCGCTGCTTTCGGGTCTAGGGCTGGCCAACCAGAGCCCCGCCTCCTCCTTGCCTGGTGGCTTTCTGCAAACACGGTCCTGGCCGTTGCTTTCCTCCCTCATTGCTGGTTTGGGAGAATCTGCGTGCGGGTGCGACCTCGCTGAGGGTAGTGAGTGGAATGGAACCCAGTGCCTGACTGGGTGTCCGAGCCCCGGGTTCAGCACCTGCTCTTGCGTGAAGAAGGCGGAGGAGGAGGCCCTTGCCGATGGGCTCCCAGGGCCGAGAGACGCTCCTTTCTGTCTTGCCTCCGTTCTGGTGGCTGTTCCCAGAAACGGGTGCGGCAGTCACATCTGTTCCACTGCACAGGCATTTGTTGAGCGATCACTGCGTGGCAGACCCGAGTGGAAGGCACCACAGAGAACGAGAGAGGCGTGGGCCGGCCCGACACCGACAGAGCGTGGCCGTGGCACAGGTGCTGAGTGGCGGGCTGGGGCCAGAGCAGGGCTGGGGCTCCTTCTGGGAGGGAGGACGTCTTTCTGTGAGGGGCGGCCACCAGAGCTGGGCTGGGGGCGCAGTGTCTCACCCTCTGGATGGCTGGGCCACTGAGGGAGCGGGGGTGGGTGCTGCCAGCAGCCTTGTTCCCTTCCTGCTGGTCTGCAGCCCCTCCTGCGCGTCTCACCCTCTCGATGGCTGGGCCACTGAGGGAGCGGGGGTGGGAGCTGCCAGCTGCCGTGCAGGAGCGGAGGCGAGCCATCTTGGTCAGCCTTGTTCCCTTCCTGCTGGTCTGCAGCCCCTCCTGAGGGTGTGAGCCCTGAGCCTCCCGGCTGCCTGGCTGCCTGCCTCAGGGTCCTGTGTACCTCCCTCCTCGCGGAGCGGAGCCTGTGTCTGGTTGTGCAGTTGGGGCGAGCTGGTCTCTGTCAGACCCCGTCACGGTGCGGAGCGCTTCCATTTCCTGACAACCCTTGCCAATTAGCTTTATTTAATTATCTCCCAGGGCTAAGCTTGAATACATTGTGTGTTAAATTCACAGTTTCCCCCTTTCTAAACGAAATGGACTTAATATCCTTGTTAAAATCTGATTAAAACTAAAATTGAGTTTTTTGAAGTCTGATTATTCCATGAAATGGAATTTTTAAACCTAATTACTTCGGGATTTGCATATACTTT